TGATCTTATTAAGGATAATAATTAACAAAAAAAGATTATGACAAAGTTAAAACTGCATCAAGCACGTTAACCGTCATATTCAAGAACATTAAGCGCGAAAAACGGAATAACTTTTTGTTCATTTCAATAATCTTTGCAAGTAAAAATGCTAGGTACAAGCTCACGCGCGTGGTATGAAATATAATATTATAGTTAATGTACTACTGCCTGGAAAATTTTACGGATATGAAAAGTTTCATCAAAAAGGTTCTGATTACAAATATAATGACTTAACGAGCTGCTTATGTCGAATCGATGTTGAAATGATTAAAAAAACGACTACATTTAATTGTTTTTAAAGACAAAATACCATGTACGCTGTGGTTAGCAGGTCTCAATTTTCCAAATTTAATTATCTTTTACAAGGTAATATCCACAAAGGGACAAGTCGGTTACCGTTAATACCGTTTTAAAAGTTATTACCGTATATATGATAATAAACATATCAATATATATTAAATGCCATCTTATTCTCCTTAACATGCCATGACTTGAATAACTTAAATTTAATATATTGGGCGTAGCCTTAAAGTTAAAGGTGAAAAGATTATAAAATAGACATGTTAATGTCACAGATAAACAACTTATCCAAAAATTACGTTTAACATATTGTCAATTATTTCCTAATAACATATATTCAGTGAGAGTATTTAAACATATACTATATTCCGTGAGAATGTATTAAATGAAAATAAATAAAACAATGCCGAATGTGTTATCAATATAACAATGAAAGGAATCTCTGAACTTTAATGCATTTTCGTAATGTTGAGACAGTTAACATTTAAATAAATATATAAGATAATATAGGCGTTGGTTCAATGTTGGTTCAACGGTGAATAATTAGCTGTTACAAAGTGAAGTTCATCTTCAATAACGTTTCAGTTGTAGAATGTACATTTTCGTTTATCGAGCGACAAGTTACAGAATTGAGAGGATAATCATAAACGATAAACTCCCTTTCAATGCCCACAGGCCTGATATGTCTTTCCCTATTATTAAAAACCCGTTTTTGGCATAAATACGGAAACGTATAGCGACCACCCCTATATGTTAGTTAAAACAGAATTTTTGACAATTTATTTAATACATATTATATACCTAACCAATTTTTAAAATAATCAGACAAGCCACACAAACACGAACATTTAGTAATTTAATTTAATTGCAAAATAACAATTTTTACAAATTAATTATCTTTTACAAGGTAATATCCACAAAGGGACAAGTCGGTTACCGTTAACAGATATCGTTTTAAAAGTTATTACCGTATATATGATAATAAACATATCAATATATATTAAATGCCATCTTATTCTCCTTAACATGCCATGACTTGAATAACTTAAATTTAATATATTGGGCGTAGCCTTAAAGTTAAAGGTGAAAAGATTATAAAATAGACATGTTAATGTCACAGATAAAAAACTTGTCCAAAATGTTTTGATTATGTCATCATGTACTTGTATAACATTATTAAAAATAAGTAAATTGCGTTTAACATATTGTCAATTATTTCCTAATAACATATATTCAGTGAGAGTATTTAAACATATACTATATTCCGTGAGAATGTATTAAATGAAAATAAATAAAACAATGCCGAATGTGTTATCAATATAACAATGAAAGGAATCTCTGAACTTTAATGCATTTTCGTAATGTTGAGACAGTTAACATTTAAATAAATATATAAGATAATATAGGCGTTGGTTCAATGTTGGTTCAACGGTGAATAATTAGCTGTTACAAAGTGAAGTTCATCTTCAATAACGTTTCAGTTGTAGAATGTACATTTTCGTTTATCGAGCGACAAGTTACAGAATTGAGAGGATAATCATAAACGATAAACTCCCTTTCAATGCCCACAGGCCTGATATGTCTTTCCCTATTATTAAAAACCCGTTTTTGGCATAAAAGACAAGTTTGTTTTTTTACTTTGGAATTATGATGCATGATTTCTGATTTGTGTATTTATTTATCCATTTCTTCTTTTATAACTTTTGAAGAGCAATTTATCATGATTTCATGTTGAGATTAGAAATAAACATTTGTTATCAACTTTCTTCATTTTCCTTAATAGGAGTTTTATATACTTCATATGTTAAGGAACGAATGTAAATCTTATTTTTTAATGGAATTCTTAGAAATATCCTAGCTTCTGATTGTTTTACATTTCTAGATATGTCAGTGCACGAATTATCATGCCCGTTAACAACATATTTATAACATATTCAGTTTGTAGGAACAATAGTACACACAAATTGTACAGCTAAAATAACTAATTATATAAATTACAGTTTACTTATGTTGGTATAGCTATTTTCCTTTGATGTTCATTAGAATAAGAAAAAATCTCTATTGATAAGTTTATTGGTCACATAAATAAGTTCGAAAATATTGAAAAATAATAGTTTTGTATTGTAAAACATTTTAGAGAAGATTGTTAGACTGTAGTCTAAGCATCATGTATATAAATTCTAAGATAAATCATATATAATATATAAACACTGAAAACAATAACTATATATACTACAGATGAAATCATATAGTCTTGACGTTCTGCATAAAGCTTAAAAACAGATACAGCTGTTTTGTTGATAGCTTATGGTGATACCTAAATTCAGAAGATTAATCATCTAAATATGGAATGTAGCAGTCACTTTTACTTGGACATTTTGTCCGAAATTAACAGATTACCGAAGATATATCCTTAAGGTTTGACGTACCAACAAATTAGATATAACCATGATAATCGACTTCAATCGTGTTGTAATTATTAATAGCTCCTATTCTTGCGAGTTACGGGGTAGCTTATGTCTATAGTGTTTAGTCTGATATATGATATTTTAGCGGCAATGGTCACATTTATATGGTCTTAGGCCAGACAATTGCCACACACTTGCCAGTCATCCACAAGGTAAATGCTATCGGCTAGAAATTTCGCGAAAAATACTTAATAATTGATAAAAGACCGTTATTAACGTAGGTAATTATAAAAAAGAAGATTGCCTTAAAATTTGCGTTCGTATCTTCAATGTATTTATTTCTTGTATTCATAAATTATTTCATCTATTTTATTATTACATTATTTAGTACGACAAAGGGAACACATATAGCACCTTATTACACGAAACAACAATTCCTTAAAAATGTAATGTTGATTATTGTTCAGCAGTTTGTATAATATTATAATAAAAACATCCATTTTTAAACTTTTTTCTGAAACAATTGTGTACTTCTATGACAAATTATTTCAGATTAAGCGCTACTTTCTACAGGTAATGAGCATTTAAAATGCTTTAAAACCATTATCTAAACGTCATAAAACTCATGTTTGCCCTTTCTAAAGAAGTAAAAAAAAATTCTTGTTAGTGTGTCTTTAATACTCATATTGGGAATGTATTCACATAGAATAGCATAGCTGCTAATCTAAATTGTATACAAAAAAAAAACCATTGAAATCAGTTTAGTAGAAAGCGTGACCTGCTGATGTGTATGAAAATTACAAAATAGATAGTAAAGAAAAAATAGTTCAAATATCATATCATGGCAAAGTGTTCAATTCACAGCAGTGAAAACGAAAATCGTCTTTGTCTTATAAACATTAGATAAGCGAAATCGTCAGGCACCTTCAATTATGAATGTTGTAAATTGAATGTTCAGTAAGCTTAACCATATTTGCCCTTGACTTAGAAATTCATTTACCGTTGATTTGAAACGTATCAATTATTCGATAGTGTGACGATATTAAAGGAACAGCAATTATGAAAAACAGTTATATTAATCTATTGCTACTGTTTGTGTATTTGCGATTTTAGATTAAAAAAAACTGAGAATGAAATGTTTGCAACCTTTCAAGAATCAAGAGTTTGCCAATAATGTAAACTCGTATTAATAAATAATTTGTTTTGCTTGTTTAATGACACTGTCACACCGATACTGTAAACGTCATATGGCAGCTTATTCAGCTTTTATTAACTGAGAAAGATTGCAGGTGACCATACGCACCGTGAGTAAGCAACTTACACGGCCAAAATAGCTCGGCTGAGGTAAGTTTTTTTAGTGATTATTTTTCTGTCCAGCCGATTTAAATTATGCTACATAGCCTCCCGACCGCGGCAGTTCCGATGCTTCCTAAAAATGTATTTACTTCCTTCTAACCTTTTGTATCTTATGAGAACATGCAAATTGTCGATGACAGCGTACACACTATTGTGTAAAAGTGTTGATGAAAACTAAATAAACGATATGAATGTCAGTTCTAAGTAAACTTTCAGGTCTTAAAATATATAAGAGAATGTTTTAATGAAAAAAGAACTGGTTTCCTGTTGTCATTTTTTGTATTTATTTAAAAAATTGACCAACTTACAGAAATGTCAACGTACACAAACTGTCTAGAATAGTGTGTACGTTGTCATCGACAATTTGCAAATATTGTTTGAATGTTCTCATAGAATACAAAACGTTAGACGAAACTAAATACATTTTAGAAAGCATCGGAACTGCCGCGGTCGGTAGGCTATGTAGCATAATTTAAATCGGCTGGACAGAAAAATAATCACTAAAAAAACTTACCTCAGCCAAGCTATTTGGGCCATGTACGTTGACTTTTGTGGTCACATGACCAAAGTTGCTTACCCACGGTGATACGTGTACATTTGCAGACACAAGCCGTCACCTTGATGGAATCAGCCTGGAAGCTTCCTCACGTGAAATAATTCAAATTAATGGCAACATTAAAAAACCATAACGGCAAATGATAAGATAGAGATAAATGGCAAAAGTACAATATATTTAAGAATTGCATTACCTCTTTAAATTATCTCAAAGGGCAATACAAAGTTTTGAATGTTTTTACTTTTACACTATCAAATAGTTAAAGGAAATAGTCAATTCTATTTTCACAATGTAGCACTGCAGTATTTTGATTATTACATGATTTATTGTTATACTTTCAGAGATGGACAAAGCCTATACAGTGTTAGCATTTATTCTTAACCTGGTTTTTTATGTGGCTGCACATCCTGTTTATAATTCGGAGAAGGATTCTCTCCAAGATGTTTACGATAGGTGTAATTCGGCGGCGGCAAACAAAGTAATTCTAGAATCCGCAGAACTTCCATCGAACTTCTTATTAGACATACGCAATGAAAATGATATAAAAGCTATTGTCGTTGCATTGACAAGGAATGACGATAACAATATCTCTGACATGCTTGGGAAAAAGTTAAACCTCATTGATGAAGATCTTCGTCGAAAGCATTTGCAAGACACTATAAGTGACTTGCGAAGGGCTTGCATTTATGAATACATTTCTGAAAAGCGGCCAACGACAAACATGAAAAAGGATGCAGAAAAATTTGAGGCTTTAGATCCTGATAATTTTAGCGATCTTGGAATCAAAGAACTGTTGAGTACAGATAGCAATCAGTTAAGAGAGTCAGTCAAACGAAATCGAGCAATTGGATTGAATCCAACAGGCTGGAGAAAGAGGCGAAGTGATTCTTCTAGAGATACCGAAGATTTGGATAAATTCTTGAGAAACATGAGAGAGCTTCTGGAAAAGCGAGAGAAACTTTCTTTTAATCCTACTGGTTGGTAGCTATATGATACAACAGCAATCTGACATTCAGCATAAAATATTAAAACCATTTTCAGCCATAAAACCTTTAAAACAAATAATAATCAAAATATAGGACCAAAATGTTTTAAACATAACTTTTGAATTTAACAAACTTTAGGCTTTGAAAAGTTGTCTATTCAATAACAAGGATTGTATTTTATTCATTTGTTAACAAACACAACAGCCTTATCATTAGTAATTTATTTTGGCATTTTGTACCTATATTTTATCACCATTTCAAATGTACTAGGAAAAATATTACACCGCCATTAATGTAAATTATGAATTATTTCTCTAGATTTTAATGGCTAAATGTAATTATTACCTTCAAATTATGAATCCTTAATCTGACTGATACACTATGTTTTGAGGCTGGCTACTTATCTCTATATCATAGCTTACAAATGGTTTTAGGATTGTTTAAAACATATTTCATATCAACTAACATTTTAAACGTTGTTTATGGTTTGGTTGTTTTACTTTATCAGTTTGTTTGGCTTCTGTACAAGGACAATGACGTTAAATATGATAGCACAGTTCTTATATATTTCCTATTTACATCTATGTAAAATTACTTCTAAAATAACAATAAAAATCTGAATCTAGGAGAATTTTTTTTAATTTCTTTAATACATTAAAAATATCAAGTATAATCGACACAAAATAAGAAGACAGCAAAAAGTAATTCTATTTTGTTTACGAACAAAGAGCATGTACTGTTAAGAGCTGAAAACACAAACTATGATAAACAAGATCAATAAGGAAAGGCGACGTTTAATGAACGTAACCCTCCAAAACAAGCTTATTCTTATTCCCTCTCGAACTAGCATTACTTGAATGACAACTCTTGTAAAAAGGGTTTTGTTTTGCAAACAGTTTTGAGACAGACAACTTTTTTGAAATTTTAATTTAGCATAGTAAATTGCAAAATTTGGAATCACCGAACAATCAACTATGAAGCATAATATTTGTAAAATGATGACACTTGCCTTATTTAGTATAAAGTCTGGCTAGCTATAATAATTCCTGAAAGTGTTGTAGACGGTATTATTCAAGTTTGATTTTGTATCTAATTTGTTCATATTATGAGCTTACAAACCCTATAGCAAGTAGAGAAACTGATAGCGAACAGCATGGATCCTGATCAGACTGCGCGGATGCGCAGGCTGGTCTGGATCCATGCTAGTCGCAAACGCACTATGTTGGTTTTGTCACGACGCGGCTCATATGTTTGTTAAAGCAACTGGAACATCTTCATCAAAAACTAAACTGTAAAAAGACTACTAAAAACCTTGATTATCCAAAGAGCGGCGGTAGTAAAACCCTCTGAGATAATAAGGTAAACATATGTTAACATAAGGTGCCAGATTTTATCCTTAAATACGTGCAATGGTTCCCATTAATTTCAATTATCATGCGTTTTTATTTTTCTTACACTTTATCCGTTAACATGTGTTATTAAATTACTTCAAACCTTGTCAAACATCCATCGAATACGTCAGCTTAATTGTTTCCCAGAAGAACAAGTAATCTAATTATTACTTTTATTAATAGAGCAATTGATTTGTTATGAAAGTTAATGGAAAAATACTATGGCCAGATATAAATGTAAAGAATGCAAGTCCAAAGATAGCCATTACAGTAGAAAAAATATGTCGAGTCATGTAAAATGTATTGTATTTTCATTTATTGGATTTGATCAAGTTTAGTCTGGACTTTTCAAATCAAACCTTAAAACGAACTACAATTAAGTTAAGGTTTTGATCATATAAACACAAAGGCTCACGAAATCCTTTTTCGTCTGTCGACTTTCAATATTGATTTAATTACGGTTAAAGTAATATTTATATGAAATATAGCATAAAAGGACCTTTTGTTCTAATGTTTTGCATTTAAAAGGACTTAAATAAAGGCCGACTTATTAAAATGGTAGTATTGATTTTCTGATAAAAATAGTTTATTTCATTTAGAAATTTGCAATATTCATAACATAATATTTTTGTTGAAGACCTGAATGGTATACATGTATTACCTGCCTTAGTGGTTTAGGTTGATGATACGTTAATTGTACTTTAATTGTACGTCTTAGATTATGCCTTGGGCTTTGTTTCGGCATAACCTTTGTAGTTTTTTACTGATATACCACACCGGATGCACGGCATGCGAATAGTTTTCCAATGCAACACGGCTTGTATTTGATTTATGTATTGCTTTATTACTTTTATGGGTAGGAAAAATCCAGGTCAATATTAGCCTAGCTCTTGGCTGAGGTATAGGTAACCAATATATTACTGTATTCAACCTGTGTAAGCATAAAGCCGGCGCTTGGAGTAGTTCATTGTTTCGGATGTTACTCGTGCAGTCGATTAATCGTATTGTGGATTTTGACAAGATTTTTGTTTATTGGTGTTACAGTATAAAACATAATAGCATACATGTACATTTTGTTACACAAAAAAAAAACATGCATTTCATAAGCACATTATTAAAAATATATGTTCCCAAGTGTTAAAAGGTCTATCAACAGACAAAAAAAAGAAAGCAAAATACGAAAAAGTTTGATCACTCAATAAAACTATTCTTCAAATTTGTCAAAACAACAAGTTGCGAACAATTTGTTTGAAATATTTCATTCGATATACACCATATAGTACACTGTAATAATCAAACTTTACCGGATTAAACGAGAAACCATCTCTGCCATTAGAATATTTTCAGTTTTCACAGAAGTTGCAGTGGCCAGGCAACCAGGACAATCCCAAGTTATAAAATAGTTTTTTCGCAACAGAAAAAAAATGTTTTAGAAGAAACTTGCTTGCATTTGATTTATAACTCGCGACCAAGAGGTTTTACATGAAGTAATAATGCTTATGTTTACTAAGTATCAGTGGATCGGCCGACATTTGGAAGTGAATCGCATAAGCAGTCACATGCTTTGAGAGAAAAAACGTAACTTCGTCATTTAAAATTTTGATGTGCCGCATTCCGTTGTATATGACCTCATTCAAATACAAATCAATTACGCTTTTGTCTGTACATTTTTATGAAACCTTCAAAACAATTTATCTTGATATCAAAAAAACATTTTTGTGTCCCCCGCCTACTGTAAATTTCTCTACGTGTGTCCACGAAGTTCTGCTGCTTATCCCCCTGTATTTAAAGCAAAGATCATTTAAGAAGTATCCTCGACCAAAAACTATATAATTTCTACATGGTACAAATTCAATATTTTTATCACCTGAGAGGCTAATTCATCGTGATTAAGCCTTTTTGTCTGACAGTCCTGCAATACAGCAGATTTATGGTTTTATTGGAGTCATTAATTTATAAGGTGAATGCCATTAAATTCTATGTCAATATTTGTACATCACTTGCTCTCAAGTGTAGTGAATGAGCTTTTTAAAACATATTATATATTGGTGTTTGCGAATGTTTACTACTGAATTTAACATTTCAAATTAAGAAGTGTATCAACTGAAACAAGCCATTTTTATTTTGTTCAAATTCTCAGGTAGAGTAGAATACACCTCAAATCAGAGCATAAATACATTTAGTATATATTTAGAGTTACTTTTTGCATTCAGCACAGCTAATAAAATGGATTTATTCATTGGTGTTTAAATTGGAGATTTCAATATATCTACAACATTGGTTCATAGTATTAACAAAATTTGTCTTAAATATGATTGCTCTCATAACATTATATATACGATATATTAATTTTACAGATGAAATCAATCGGCGACATTTTTGTTATTCAATAACTGATACAAAACTTCACATTTACATAGATACTATTGCATTTAACATCTGTGCAAAAAAAAATTCAGGTTGATTGAAATAAGTACATACATTTCTACATTTGATGTAAATTAAGCTGCCAATAAGGAAGATGTAATAGATGCTTGATATGACTTTTATTGACTGACCATTACTGTTTATTTGTAAAAATAGATCATGTTAAAGTCCACCTATTAGATTATCATATCAAAATATAAAGTATACATTTTCTAGAGATGTTGATAATTACAAACAGAAAGTATAAGTGGCATAGCTGTCTGCAGTCCTATTATTTCGAATCTGATTCAAATCGTATGTTAACTGATGCTCATTGACAGACATGTTTTTTTTCTATATATATTTTAATCTTGTTGTGCGATGCTTGTGTTGCTTAATCAGTCATATTTGATATGAGCAGCTACCCGTATGAATCCTAATTTCGTGTTGAAATAAAGAGTTACAATATTGTATAATTTGAAATACTGCTCGGTCATTATTTCGAATCTCATTGCACCAGCACAACATTAATCTATATTAACAGCGGCTTAGGTACAGGTCTATTTATTTGAAAAGGAAACACACGATAAGGGAGTTTTTTAATTAACATATTGTGACATAAATATTTACAACCGTTGGCGCTATTCACAATTATTAATAGTTTCGTATGTATCATTTATTTTCGTTGACTTAAATGAATAGATTTAAAGTGTGATAAAAAAGGAACAACATCATCATCATCTTACATAATGCAGCATTAATCAACCTCAAGCTGAGGAAATATAGTAGGTTAGGAGTATAATAATCGTGATCTCCATATTTCAGTCTTTTAAATACAAGTTTGTAAAATAATGTCAGCAACATCATGTATTATGTTATATTTTTTAGATAAATATATATATTCAATTAGAATCTCATATGGGTGTGTTACGAGCATGTACAAAATGATACAATTTGTGCAGTATTATATGTAACACACGTGTTTTTTACAACCTGTCGCATTATTCGTTTAAAAATCCACAAGATTGACGTTAAAAAACTTTTCAAATTTCCAATGCTTTTAGATGCAATGGTATTTATATATCTGATCACTGAACATGATTTTGAATCCAGTAATGTAGAAAAATTAATTATTGAAACCGTGTGATCGATACAACAACATCATAATACCACTGCAGTATTCTAGCGGTTAGATTTTAAGATTCCAATAGTTGCACTCATAACAGAATTATTTTATCCATATGTTAGGATTTCTAAATAATCCATGTAAATCACAGTGACAGGAAGTAATGAATTATAACTGATTTATTATAGGGCCAAGCCATTTATTCTACATCAATATTTACACATCACTTGAACTTAAGTGTGGTGAACAAGGCTCTTCAATTTAATTACATTGTTGTAAACGGATATTAACCTATTGTAATTCAGAAAAATGATTATACAACAGACGCCCTTACAGTGTACCTTTACGAATAGGTATAATATCAAGATATAAAGTACAACATTACGTATAATGTTATCTCTACTGTATGAAATTTAATTAAATTTAAAATATGAAAGGTCGTTGCTCATTTAAAAATGTCAATGATTCATGGCAAATAACAACCAGGGCACCATTTTCTTTCTTTCTTTCTTTCATTAAGAAAACATTTAATGCATATCAGTTACCAGAAAAATAAGTTATTTCCCTTCCTTCCTATGGTGAACAACCGTTATATACAAAATATTTAGTTTCGAGGGGTATCCAGATTAAGACGGCATTTCTGTCATTTTGTTATTAATATACGAGGCAACAATGTCAACACTTTCAGTGTACAAGGAATGTTCCAAGATGAATGCATCTACGCTCATAATAATGTTTTCTTGAAAGATAACAACCGTAAATGTTTTAAGCTCATTTGTGATTTGCAAACTACTGTACATTGTAAGACCGTCTTTTGTTGCTCATCCCTCTACAGATTGGCCGTCAATGTAGCTCGCATTTTTTTCTCATTTTCAAAGAAGAAAAACGTTTTAAAATTGAATAATCTGATCTTAATGAGATGCTAAGTATAATGCATACGTCAATTTAATTGTTTCCCAGAAGAACAAGTAGTCTAATTATTACGTTTAATACTAGAGCAATTGATTTGTTATGAAAGTGAATGAAGACAACTATGGCCAAATGTAAAAGGAAAGGAAGCCGGTCCAAATATAGCTATTAATATAGAAAAAATATGTCGAATCATGTAGAATGTATTGCATTTTCATTTGTTGCATTTTATGAAGTTTTTCTGGACCTTTCAGATCAAACCATAAAGCGAACTGCAATTAAGTTGAGGTTTTGATCATATAAACACAATTCCTTACGAAATCCTTTTTCGTCTTTCGACTTCCAATATTTATTTCATTATAGTTGAGGTAATATTAATATGGAATGAAGCATAAAAGGACCATTTGCTTTGATATTTGCATAAAAAGGGCTTATTAAAGGGCGACTTATTAAAAGGGTAGTATTGCTTTCTGATAACAATAGTTTATTTCATTTTGAGATTTGCAATATTCATAATATAATATTTTAGTGTATTTCCTGTCTTTGTGGTTTTGGCAAATGACATTTTTAGATGTACGTCTTAGATTATGCCTTAGACAACCTTTGCATATTTTCAATGATACACCCCACCGAATGCACGGTATGCGAATAGTTTTACAATGCCACAATTTGATTTATGTGTCGCTTTATTACTTCTATGAGCAGCAAAAATCCCAGTCAATATTATCTTAGCTCTTTGCTGTGGTATAGGTAACCAATATATTACTTAATTTAACATGTATAGGAACATACTCGAGTCTTGGTAATAATTAATTATCTCGAATGTTTGAACAGCATGATGATAGTTTTCGGCCGATCAATTGTATTATCTGCCCTTTGACAAGACGTTTTAATTTACGGATGTATTAAACTTAACAACAAAGTTGATAACTTCGTGAAATTATGCTTAAAATTGATCAAAACTATCTTTTTTACAGTAACAAGAAGTTGCGAAAAATAGATTAAAAATAATTGCTTTGTTGGTCTGAAAAATAGCTTGTAATCATCGCCTCACCACGTTTTTTCCCCAGAATAATCATTTTCATTGCAAAAATGACCCAAAAAATGAAAAGCATTGCAATGCCCTTACTCAAATCAGGCTGATGATTGCACTAATTACCGACATTTCAATTAATTCAGAGTGTATTTCATAGTTATTGTAATGTCTGCTATAACATAGTTACTGGACAAGCATGGGTAGAGAGATTAAACAACGCAGCCGTCTGGTTACTAAATCTATTTACTAATGATACTACATAGAGGTGATGCCAGGTGAATTTAGGCGGGGCTTATCAGCTAGTGGCTAATACTAGCTGACCAATAGCGAGTCAATATATTACATCCGCCTTTTTCTCAGAAGAATAACATGCAAGTAGTTTAAAAAGTTCATGAACTCAAAATCCCTGAAATAAAAGCATTATAATCATGAACATAATCTAGCATGCCATTTGTAAATAATAGTGGTCATTTATCTAAGACGCGTGAAGTTTTCAGAGCATTAAAGTTTAGACCTTTTGTAAACAGTCTCAGAAATAATGTTACACTGATTAATCTTAATGTTTTCTCTAGCAGTTTGAATGATAGCATTTATTGCTATTTAATTTAAAGTAATCATTTCCTGAAACATGTCATTAATTTTCTTAGTTTAATGGTTAGTCTGTATGGTCAGTTTGTTTTCATTGAGAATGTGTCTGACAGTTTATCTCTGATAAAATGGGCGGATTTGAGTGATATGCCTTCTCACAATGTCATTGTGTCTTGATTTTAATTTCACTTGATTTCCCGTTTGTCCAATAACAGTGTATATTTCATTATTCCATTTTGAGTCTAATTTTCCTTGATGTTTGTTTAGAATAAGCACTTTCTGTCCAAGTTTATATGTTATAATCCGAGTATTTGCCTGCCTGTCTGCGTATTTCTTCATTGTTTGTTTTTTGTAAGAGTCCATTTTTCTTACTTTTGTGTCATTTTTCTTTCTTTCAAAGTGCGGTAGTTTATTCCTTATTGTTCTGTTGAATAATAGGGATGCAGGTGCGTATCCTGTGGATACATGAGGGGTTGTTCGATATGTCATCAAAATTTGTAGATTTCTGTTCGCCAGTTTTTCTTTCCATTGTTAGCAGTCTTAACGCATTTTGCTATTGTTTTGTTGAAATTTTCTACCAATCCTGCTGCTTGTGGATAATAAGGCGTAACACGTTGGTGTTTTATTCCGTTTGCAGTGAAGAAGTTTGTGATTTCTTGAGATACCATGTTTGGTGCATTGTCCGTTTTAATCACTGACGGAAGTCCATGTGTGGCGAATATTTTCATAAGTCTTTGAATGATACATCTTGAAGTGATTGATTTCATGATTTCAACTTCTGGATAACGAGAGTAGTAATCTATTACTACAAGAATATATTCTCCCCCTGGGAACGGTCCTGTTAAATCCATCCCAACGGTTTGCCAGGGTGTTTCTGGTAATTCGGTTGGTGTGATAGGAAGTTGTCGTGGCGGGTTTGAGACTAGCTGGCACTGGAAGCACGTTTTAATCAGCATTTCAATTTCGTTGTCAATGCCAGGCCAATAAACTTTTTCTCTTAGCATTTGCTTTGTTTTCACTATGCCTTGATGTGTTTCATGTGCGATTTGTAATACCTTTGGCCTAAGTCCCTGTGGAATTACAATTCTGTTTCCCCGTAACACAATGTTATTATGTACCGACAGTTCATTGCGTAACTTGTAGAAAATCTTGAAATCTTGATTTTTCGGCCATTTATCATGCTGAATGCACTTGATTAGTTCTTGAATGAATTTGTCCTGAGATGACTCTTTATCAATTTGATCTAAGGTCATAGCCATTGGCACGGCATTTTCGCACACATAATCCATGTAACCTTCTGTGATATTTGATATCTCACATTTTTCTTGACTATACGTTGACCTTGAGAGGATGTCAGCTGGGTTTAATGCTCCTGATTGAAATTCGATGTTGAATTTGTAACTTTGTAGTCTAAGTAGCATTCTTTCTAGTCTAGCTGGAGGTTTGTGTGTTGGCTTGAAAATGTTGACTAGCGGTTTATGGTCTGTAATTACTTTAAAGGTTAATCCATACAGATAAGTGTGAAACTTTTCTATCCCCCAAGTTACTGCTAAGCATTCTCTTTCAATTTGACTGTAACGCCTTTCAACATCATTTAGTGTTCTGCTTGCATATGCTACAGGTCTTAAATGTCCATCATTTTGTTTTTGAACCAAAATTGCACCCAAACCATATGGCGAGCCATCGACCATTAGAGTTGTCTCAGCTTCTGGGTTGTAGAAAGCCATGACACTTGCACTTGTTATCAGTGATTTTAATTGTTCAAACGCAGATTGTTGTTCTTTTTCCCAGTCAAATGGAACATTTTTTCTTGTTAGTTTTCTGATAGGTTCCGAAATTGTTGCGAAATTGGGAAGAAATTTCGAGCAGTAGTTTAGCAGTCCTAAGAAAGATTTAACTTCTTTCACATTTTTTGGTGGTGTTGTATTTAGCACTGCCTTTATTTTGTCATCATGTGGCATGAGTCCATCAGCTGTGAGGGTGTGACCCATAAATGTGATGGTTGTCTTGCAGAATTCACATTTACTTTTGTTCAAAGTTAGATTTTTGTCTCTAAGGCGTTGTAGAACTTTACGCAACGTGGCGTCATGTTGTTCTTTTGTTGTGCCATATACCAATATATCATCCGAAATATTTTTGCAGTTCGGTATGTCTTGAAGAGTATGTTGTATTATACGTTGGTAGACTTCTGAAGCACAGGAAATTCCAAACATAAGTCGGCGATAGCGATATATTCCATCGTTTGTGACAAATGTTGTTATTTTTCTTGATTGTGGTTCGAGCTCTATCTGGTGATACCCCATGTTTAGATCTAGTTTAGTGAAGAATTTGGCTCCACTAAGTTCCTCTAGTGTTTCGTCAATGTTCGGCATTGAAAACCGTTCACGTTCAACTGCTGTATTTGCTTGTCTCATGTCTACACAAATTCTTATGTCTCCATTGCTTTTCGGAATAATTACCAGGGGTGACACCCATGGTGTAGCACCTTCAACTTTTTCTATGACGTCAGAATCTAGAAGTTGCTTAATTTTTTCTCTGACTTGCTGTCGCATTTTGAAAGGTATTCTGCGATTTGGCTGTGCAATGGGCTTAACATCTTTGTTGATATGTAGCTGTAGCTGGAAATCTTTGAGTTTTCCCAATCCTTGAAATCTGTCACTGAACTCCGATAAAATATTATCCATGTTATTTTGATTTGTTTTCACATTGTTTATGCAGAATTTAAGTAATCCTAGATCAACTGCAGTTTGCTGTCCTAATAGTGGTGTACATTCTTTATCAATGATGTGAAATTTTATTTTTGTTTCCTTTTCATTTAATTTCATTTTCATTTCTGCAATTCCAAGAACTTTCAAAGGTATTTTTTGAGCATAAGGGTAGATCTTTGAATGACATTTGTGAAGTGATGTTGATTTTGTTCTTACTTTTTCAAAGGTTGCGCGATCTAGGTAGTTAACACTAGCTCCAGAATCTATGAGCAATTTACATTTAATTCCTTCTATTTCAACTTGCACATATGGTGACTGACATTTTGAATTTATGTTGAACACACATTCGTCTTGTTGTACACTTACATTTTCTTGATGATCATTTACGAAATGCACGTGGCTTTTTTGAGATTTGCACATGTTTGCATAATGTCCAAGCTTGTTGCATTTACGACACGTAATATTACGAGATTTAAGACATTCGTGACCAGAATGACCTTTTCCTCCGCAATGGTAGCAGCTCTTGAATTGTGTCGGTTTTGGTGCTGGTCTGGCTCTTGGCTGGTACTGCTTCCGCTGTCTAGTTGGTTTGTGTTTAACATGATTGACGTCATCTTGATAGGTATATTCTAATTTGTGTTGATTTCTTGTAGACTGTTGTATTTCATTGGCATGCAAGTTTGCAAGTTCTGTTGTGCGGGAAATATGTTGAATTTTTTCTAATGTTAGGTCTTGTTCGCGGAGAAATCTGATTTTTAATTCTTTTGAGGTACAATGTTCTATAATTTGATCGCGAATCATGTCGTCTGCCGTATTTTCTGGAAAATCACAAGATACTGAGAGTTTTTTTAGTCTTACAATGTAATCGTCTACAGTTTCATCTGAGTGTTGTTTTTCCTGTCTAAATCTATGTCTTTCATATGCTATGTTTTTCCTTGGATTAAAGTAATGAGTTAAATCCCTGACTGTTTGGCAATAAGAATTTTCTTGACGGATTGATGTCTCATATATGTCTTGTAATTCCTCTCCTCCCAGATGTAATAGGAGAGCTTTTTTTCTTTCGTCTTTTGTTATTCCGGCTGCCTGTATGTAATATTCAAAACGTTTGATATAATTGTCCCATGAACTGGATAAGTTTGTAATTTGTCCAATAACTTTGAAAGGCTGTGGCGTTGGCAGTTCAAAAGATGCCATCTTGAAATAATTAATATAAATCCTTGATTCTTGAAAATAGCCACAATAACTTTATCACTGAACTTATTATTAACAAGTCCTCTAGAATTAATTAAACTAGTGAAAAGTATTATCCAATCATCCTCGTCGCCAATGTAATGTCTGCTATAACATAGTTACTGGACAAGCATGGGTAGAGAGATTAAACAACGCAGCCGTCTGGTTACTAAATCTATTTACTAATGATACTACATAGAGGTGATGCCAGGTGAATTTAGGCGGGGCTTATCAGCTAGTGGCTAATACTAGCTGACCAATAGCGAGTCAATATATTACAGTTATCATTTGAATATTATACCATTTTGAATGCTTAACTTGGTCTATATAAAAAATACAAATTAAAAAGTTTATTGTTCATTGAAGCAGTGGAGCTCTTTTAACATCCTTTGCCAAGAATACAACGATTCTTAACAATTATATGACTTTATTCGGATCTTCTTACAAACATTTTATATAAGAAAACAACACAAGATATAGTGTGAAGCAATCGATATATATTATATTATACGCAGCTACATTGAACTTATTTAATGCGTGTATCCATATACTGCCAGTTTTCAATCACTACCACTTTTCAATCATCCCTAGAAATTCTGTATTTTTGACCTTATTTGTCATGTAACCAAACTGTAAGCACATATTGTATTTACCTTGACTACATTTAACAGCAGCAATGTCAATTATGGCGATAAAAAAGAAAATACCAGTATTTTAGTACAAAATATGTAAAATGTGTGTTTTCCATTAATCCTTAATTTACCCAGTTACAAATCGCAATAATTTTCTAAAAAGGAATTGAATTACAGGCTCAGTTTTTTGTCAGTCTGCAGAAATGGATATTAAGTTGGACAACTGTTTCACTATCATTAGGTCATAATGTATACTGCACTTCAAAAGCTGTAAGTTTAATATGTACATATTTTACCACACAATTCTTAATTGGAAGGTAATACGTCAGTAAGGTAACAGTCACTTAACCAAGGAATAACATTCTCTCAGATAACTTTTCAGTAATGGAGTCATATCGACCTTAAGATCCTAAAAATTTCACAAGAACATGCTTTTTCTGTTATGTAAATTGAGATGTACATCCATACCCCAATTGTGACAGCTATACTACTGCAGATAGATGTCAAGATTGAAAAATGGCATTATAAATAGGTTAAAATTGTTAATTACCATTTATCTGAAGTTGAGTTAACCAAAATTTCTTCAAAATACATTACTGCTTATATCTTAACATTGTATGACATTTTTATGTGGTACAGTATATATTTTTAACTGATTGAAAAGTGGCAGTGAAATTTTGAAGAACAGGAAAATTGGTCAGTAATAATTTGTCATCGATGTATTCCATCATTGTAATTTACTGGTGATGGTTTTCGACTTACTGATCGTAATACTGTTCTACATGCAATAATATTCATATAATCGAAAAATCATTGTATCTAAAGTGAAATGGTAAACTAAACATAGTTTTTTTGTTGTTTTATTTAAATGTTGCAAAAGGATATTCACCCGATACAGGTTGACTTCACTCACGAATGAATATTGAAATAATAGGTCGTTACCCGATAGATCGTTGAGCAAAGAAATAGCTTTTAAGTCTCTCTTGCCTGATATTTTATTGTTATATTTTTCATGAGTTAACATCAGAGAAAACGTTTTGTATCATATTAAAGTAGATATATAAATAACAATGTTTAAAAAATTATCTTAAACATAGCAGTATCAAACTAAATCATATTCATCACAAAAATACAAAAAAAAATATAATAACAAACATTTACCATCTTATTAAAAAAATAATGAAAATACAGATTAGAATTTTTATCAGTTACATGGTACAACAACAACAACAACCCTGTTTTTATAAGGGAATTAAAAGATTTACTTTATTTATTTTTTTACTTTATTATTATTCATCTTTAAGTAACCATAAAAGTGGTAGGAATTTATTTTATAATAACAAACAAAAGAGAAAAAAACATCTTTGAAAAAATGTTGCTTAATTATTAAAAACGGTATGTCTCAATTTTGATGAAATACAAAGAGGTTTGGTCCAGAAAATAAACTCCAGCTAGATTGACCATATGTCATTGGGACATTGTTTTATCTTAAAAAGAAATATCTAAATAAAATTCTGAACATATGTGCATTTAGAAATAATATCATTTTAAGTTGTGGAATTACCTCATTTCCACTCATTTTTCAGTCAAAAGTAAAATTGAAATTTCAAAAATCTCGTTTTTTCAAACATTTAACTGAGAATTAACGTCTGACAAGACAAAAAAGAGAAAAAAGTCTAAACAATGAACGAAAAAATAAACTCATCTGAACCTGTGCTTCACTGTTAATATTTTCAACCGTTTTGTATTTTTCTGGAATTACCTTGTGAACATGTGTTTACCGCAAACCCTTTAGATATTCATCTTACACGTTAACCAAAGAACAAGTAATCTATAATGTTGTTGTTGTTTTTAATAGAATAATGAATTTGCCAGAAAAAGTTATGAAAAAAACCAGCTTTGTCTAATATAAAAGAAAAGAAAGCTAAAAATATTTCCGTAGCAAAAAAAAATTTAGTCATGTAAAATGTTTCGGAATTCTTTCGTATTACATAAGGTTATGTCTAGACTTTTCGGATTGAAGCTTGATTTGTTTAAAAGAAATAAAATCAAGAAAAGGTTTTGTTAAGCTAAACCATCTAAGCGTTACAATTATTGTTTGACTGAATATTACTGCATATTATTACAGTTAAGTTTATATTTTTATGAAATACATGTTAAGCATGAAAAGACTCTGTGTCTCTATTTTTTCTTTTGAAATTTGTTTGCCAAATGAAGACCTACCAATCAAAGTTGTAATCTTTCTTATGATAAAAGGTTAAACCTGAAGGGTATAAAACTACATCTAATGAAATATTTGGAAGTTTATGTACAGTTAAATTCTGTTGATTCCATACTATTCTAGTCGATTCTCCAGTAAGTTGTAACAGAGAATGTCTCTGACTTTTAGCACATATGAATATTGTACGTATATAGAGTTTTGGTTCATATTTTGTAGTAACTGTTGATGGTTTTTATTTCATTATGGGGCTGCGTCCAGATCACGTTGCGTTCCCTTTATTGTCATATTTTATACAATTCGACTGAATTCAAAACCTTATATTTATCAGTCAGTATTTTTCAACGGAAATCAAAATGAATAATTATTTTTGTGCTTTCTTTTCTTTCTATTCGTTCATATTAGGGTATTTTTTTCTAAACTTCTCAATTGTTCTATTAATAATTCAAAAACACACATTGTTCTTTAGGGAAACAATAAAGTTGTTGATGCATAAGATGGATATGTAACTGGTTAAATACCGTAACAGTAACTGGTTATCGGAGATATAGTGTAAGAAAAGTACAAAACGTGTGATGAATGTAAATATGTAATTGCATTTTGCATATATCAGGCCAACCTTGCAACATGTCTCATAAACCCTTCAAGTTTAATATTTAACCAGCTTAAACATCACGGATCTAGAATATCTTAGTATCTTAATTGTATACTTATAAAAGTATTATGTCTGAATGCTTTCAAGATTCCAATTCATCGGGAAACTGAAACTTTGCATATTTATAGATACATTGACAAAACCATGTTCAATTCGTTGCAATCTATCAAGGATGCATTTTATGTCTTCATGTTCACACTGACATTGTTGAGATCATTGCATTGTCCCATGTTTTTATAACAATATACCGAATACATGTCCCTCAAGTTCGAATAACTCTCTTTACTAAATATAATGATTTATTTTAGTTCGAATGTGTTGGAAGCTATAAGCTTCATGTTTAAACACTCTCGAATCCGTTTTTGCAACCAACAAGTACTCAGTTATAGTGGAAAAAAGTTCACGGAAACGTTGGCTTATCCCTGACAGGGTTTGGACTAACGCGGCCAGAAATCTTTGGACGCGCCCACATTATATCTTGTGAGATAGAGGTATACCGCTGCACGAAAAAAAATCATAACAATTTCTCTGACGGTCTCTATGCTTAACATGTCTTCTTTGTCATCGTAATATTTAAATATCAAATAACATCACCTGGCTGTTATTCAACAGTAAACACTTGCATGCAATATTTTATTAAATGAAATATGACACACTTTCACATTTTTAAATACTAGTAAATCAGTGTACATTGATAAACCATGTCCGTAATGTTGTACATTTCTAATTGTTATAATACAGATTCGTTAGGTTGAACCGTCTGCCCTCTTGTTGTAGCAACCTTTTCCCGGTTTACAATGTGTTTAAGACATAAGCTAACATCCGTTAACAGCACCGTTATTAATTTAAAAGTATAGTTGACTACAATTGAGCACAAGTGATGCGTAAATATTGACCATATAATTAATTGCATTCGTCAGAGGATTATGAATGGAATAGACAAATCATAAATCAGAAATAACTTATAACTTTCGGTCACATTAAATTACAAGAATTATTTGGATGAGCACGATCTGACGATAAAATAACACATTACAAGTGTTTTATCTGATTCTTACACTTTAACCGCAAGAATATATACCAATAGTTATATTTCTATATATTTCATTGTTCAAAATTGTATTGTTTATATATACTCTATACCTCAAGCCATTTTTAATTTTCTACTCTTCAAAATCGCGTCCAATGATAGTTATATTTCTATACATTTCATTGTTCAAAATTGTATTGTTTACATATACCCTATTCCTAAAGCCATTTTTAATTTTCTACTCTTCAAAATCGCGTCCAATGATAGTTATATTTCTATACATTTTATTGTTCAAAATTGTATTGTTTTTATATACCCTATACCTCAAGCCATTTTTAATTTTCTCCTCGTCGAAATCGCGTCCAATGATAGTTATATTTCTATACATTTTATTGTTCAAAATTGTATTGTTTATATAACCCTATACCT